GGAAAACACTCCAAGTCATATCTGAGTTGGGTGTTTGTCTTGTTCCCCAGGAGCCTCATCCCTGCCTGGCAGCACCCAGGGATCCCCAGCACCCCTGTGCTGGCAGGCAGGAGGGGAGGGCACTGCAAGAATGAGCAAAGCCACCTCCAAAGAGATTCAGAAAACTCTGTGGGAACCCTGGAAATCAGGTGGCTGATAGACACAAAGGATAATCTTGTCAGAGCAGATTAACTTCTGGATCTGCTGGATTCTTCCATCCCATGCTCTGTGTGCAATAAATGGTACCTGGCCGTGCCCAGGTAAGGGACAATGGGCAGGGGACAGCCAAGCCTCAGCTTTTCAAGATCTTTATGATGCCTCCAGTGCAAAATCCAGTTTTTATTTTAAATCCAAGCTATGTTTTATCCACTTCACATTTTTAAAAAGACTTTCACATGTAAAAAACCTGCAGCTGTTAAGACTCTCTGAAGAACATACAGGCTTCAAGGCTGAGCAAATCAGGATAATTGCAGGAAAAATGTAGCAAGTGTGCAAGGCTTCAGGCTTTGGGAGAGGGGTATTTTTAGATTTTAGACTGAAGAATGACTCCAGGACATCGGGCTAGACAGTGAGGGCAACAGAAGGGGGAAATGTCAGAGCAAGAGGCTACAGAAAGCTTATGGAGCTGCAAGTGCCCAAATGTGATTCTTTCCAAGCAAATAAATTTGCCGTCTGCATCTGTTCATGGGTTTCACTGAAAATGAGAAAATCATCACTCCATATGCAAGATGCAACCCAGTGCATTAAAAAAAGGCACAGAGCAGTCTCTTCAGATAAATTAAAGCAATTAGAAAAAAAAATCAATGCTTATGAAACACCATTGAGAGCTTTTGCCTCCTTGGTCTTACCAATATTTCTCTTGGTAAGAAGAAGACTTAAAAATAAAATTTAAGGTGAGATAAACATTTGACACAGGGGTAGTGGGTTCTTCCCAGAGGAAGAAGAGATCATTTGTTCTTTTTAAGGAATTACAAACTCCAAATATATTCTCCAAAATATTCTTCAGCAAGCAAACTGGAGGATTTTAACCTGGACTCTGTCCTTATTTACCTTTTACTTCTTAATTTCTTAACGTCTGAAAAACTTTTCCATTAAAACTACACGGAGTTACACTGTGTCACAATGTAACCAGGGACAAATTGACAAGCTAATTTTTCCTTTTCTAAAGCATTCAACAGCGTAGCAAAGGTTTCTGCTTAACATGTCTGGCTTTTTCCCTTTGCAGGAGCATCCCCAGGGAGCGGCACAAAGACAGCTCAGCACAAACCTCTCTCCAAGGCCAGGAGGGACAAAGGGCCAGCGTGGTGCTCTGTGCCATCACTGGGGACAGGCAGCAGGACAGCCAAAGGTACCAGTGCCAAGCTCTCCTTCCTCCAGAGCAAAGTCAGCTTGGAGAGCCAAGGCTACCTCACCCAGTGGGAAAAAACACTGGAATGGAATTAGCAGTTCACAGTCTACAAATTGGGAAGACTTCCACAGTTTACAAGTGAATTTAACTTTTTGTTAGGCTGGTTCCCCAAATGCTGTCCTTTCTGTTATTCTTGTGTGTTACATTGAAATTGGCCTCTCAATTCCTGAATTAAACTCCTTTAACCAAATCGAGCCAGAGTTAATGGTCTGTTAGCATAGAGCAATTTTGAAAGCTATCTTTGAAACGTATTATTCAACTGAGACAAGGCTCATTCTACTCTTTTACTGTTACTCAGTTTTCAAAAGGCTGGATAAAAGGGTGAGGATTTTACTACGTGGGAAACAAATTAGATGGGAGCCCTTTGGGATGCTCTCAGTATGGGTTCTCTAGAAGACACAGACCCAGCAGGCAAATCAGCTTTTTGTAGTTATTGCACCTTTTGGTCAAATTTGGCTGCCTGGACGTTAGGAACCACAAAAGCAGACAGTGCTGTGCTGCCAAGAAGGGAACATTTCAAAACGTAATTACCCCAATCATGTGCTTGCATCTCTTTATGGCTACTTGGAAGGGCCATAAACAGCTCTGCACTGCAGGAGCAAGAACTCCATGTGCTAAGCCAGGGCAGAACCAGCACTGCCACTCCTGTCCGGCCAACACCTGCCACAGTTTAGTATGAAAAGCAAAATAAAGTAAATCTCTCTCATTATTTGTCTCTCAGGGGCTGGTTCACTGACTCCTCTGGCTCACAGGCATGGGGGCATCAACCCAAAGTGCAAACCCTCCCAGCAACCTAGTGGGGCTGTGCTGAGCTGCCAGGGCAGAGCAGGATCTCCCACAGGTTCCCTGCCCTCGCTCAGCACCAAAGGCAAGGAAGGGAAGGAAGGACCTGCTCCCCTCTACACCCAAACCACAGGAGCCTGTCTGTCAGCACAGCTCCACTCAGTGCTGCAGCTCTTTGGGCACATCTGATGTCCTGAGTCACTCACAGCACTTGTGAGGGCAGTTCTGATAAATGCCCTGTACACCCATCTCCCCTGAAAGCAGATGGGAGCAATCACCGCCCATCTCACCAGGCAAAACATCTTCAGCTCTGCTCTTACACATCCTTTTGTTGTTTCTCCTGAGTTTCCTGCCCAGGAGCAGAATAATGAGGGAACTGGCAAACATCCTTCTCCATTCTGGCAAAGAGGCACAAGACATTTTGAGTGTAACCCACTCAAACCCATGTTCCTGCACAGTGAATCTGACTCCTGGTGTGACTCCAGTGGCTCCCCTGCCCCTCAGGACAAGGGCTCTGCAGGAGCACCATTCCCTCCTGTCCAAGCTAAGTGTATATATTAATCCATCTCCATTCAGGGAAGAGGTTTATAAACCATCTACATCATGCTACTCTACAACTACAGTTACATTTCAGACAGCAAAAGCAATAACCAAGCCTTCAAAAAGCTGTTGCAGCAGCATATCATTTTAACAGAACCTTTTGATGTCAGTCAAAAATATTGCTGAATGTCTACTTTCAGGGGAATAGTCCTTGGAAGGCAAGAGAGTCTGGCTGTACAGAGACTCTGGAAAACTCCTCTGCAGCCTGGCATTTGCACACCAGATAGAGCCAGTGCCAGTGAGGATGGAACTGTGGCTGCTCTGGTGGGACACAGCTCCTGAGGGGACAGGGAAGAAAGGGCTCACCTGGCAAGGGCTGGGGAGAAGCTCAGGGACAGAGCAGCACAATTATTCCTTTCTAATTATGCCAATAAATTCCACACATCTGCTGAGGAGGTAGCAGAACTCTGGCAGAACAGGCACTGCTATTGTTACACTACTCAGCTTCTCCTGTAAACAAGCTCTAAAAATAATTTTCTAGATAAATCAGGCTTGCAACATGAAGAAGGGAGGCTTTAGACCAAACCCACTTCAAAGTGCTCCCAAGGCTGTATCCTGCTGCCAAGGCAGGGCACAGCAGCACTGCCTTCCTTCCACATGCTGCTTTGCAGAACAACGTCACTTACTTAAAATTTAGATTAGAATAACTTTGCAGCGCTAGGAGGACAGCATTGATGCTGAAACATGACAAGCTAAAAGAGAAAAATGGATACCTTCAAGGAATTGAAATATTTTCTTTGCTTAGACAGCAGCTCTAAAGAGCTGGACAAATTTCATGCACCCTTGACTATGGGGGAGTTGCAAAGTGCACTCAGAACCCTACAAAAAATACATTGTGCAAGTCAGAAGCTACTTTTAGTGATGACTGATCAGCCTTACTCTTGAGCAATTTAAACCTCCCCAGCTGTGTGAGTATTCCCCACAAGCCTTGGAGACACATGGACTCCACTATCAAACACAGAGACACCAAGAGAGCAGAACCACACGAGGCAGCCTGCGACTGTTCTGGGGGAGCTGCTGAGGTTTAGCACAACCAGCCAGAGCCTCAAAGCTCAGAACAGCACAGGAGGAGTTTCTGAAGCTTATTCCTAGTGGCATGTTTCCTCAGCAATACCTGTAGCTGTTTGTTCCTTGCCATTGAACATCAGCGGGCACAGACCTCTCACACCGAGGCGGTGGCAAGGGGCCGAGAATGCTGAGGTGGATCCATGACCAGGGGCAGGCTCTGCTGCTCTCTCTGCAGACACATCACCCATGGAAATCTGCTTCTCTCAGCAGGGCACAATGACCCTGAAAGCAACTAACTCCCTGACAGGAGGGACAGCCAGGTGAGGCTCAGTCTCTTCTCCCAGGTAATGAAGAATGGCCTCAGGCTGGGCCAGGACAGGCTCAGGGTGGACAGCAGCAGGAATTTCCCCATGGAAAGGGAGATCAGGGATTGGAAGTGCCCAGGGAAGTTTGGAGTGCCCATCCCTGGAGGTGTCCCAGGAAGGGCTGGAGGTGGCACTGAGTGCTCTGGGCTGGGGACAGGGTGGGGATGGGGCACAGCTGGGATTCCATGGGCTGGGAGGGCTTTTCCAACCTCAGTGAGCCTGGAATTGCAGTTAGGACAGGCTGGTCCCAGTTACCCTGGTTTTCCCATCAGTCCCAGCTCTGCAGTCCCACCAGCTGGAGAGCTTTGGGTTTTCCCTGCAGAGGGGTGGCAGGGATCAGTTGTGTTGTCGCTCCAAGTGCTCTCTTTGCTTTTACACACACATGAGCAGATCTGCATTCTGAAAGCCTTCACACAAAAGGCCTGTTTATATTCAGTGGGATTTTATTGGAAGGAAAAACCCTCCAGGCTTCAAAGCAATGGGTCAAACTGTCCAGCAGGACAATCGTGCCCTGGTCTCCCTTACTCCAAACGACCACGACCAAGTAACAAAACCTTTATCATATCCTCACATGGTAATATCCACAACTACATGGGTTATTTAACAGCTCTTTTTGATAAGCTTACATTTTCAATTATTTAAATATTAAATCGTGTTTAAATTTGTTCAAATAAAATTTTAAAAGGAAATTAAATACCGAATTTGCTTTGTGCTTCAACAGAATTTAAAAACCTGTTTTGCCTAGTCTTGCCTTAATTTAACTAGCAACAATTAAATTTTAATTTGTACCATCTTACCTCAATCAATTTGTTGGCATGTTCACGGAAAACCTGGGCATATTCTTTAACTTCTTTTTCATTCCCATTCTTGGCAGCTTCAATCAATACTAAAAGAGGAACATTTGTTTCCAGAAAAGAGTCTGAAACATGGTCCATAACAGCTTTGCGGAGCTAAAATAAAAATAAAAGAATCAGTTATTCTTCAGTAGTGTTCCACTGCTGTTTCCCTCTTACTGTATTAGTACGTAAAGCTTAAACTACTTTTGTCATTGATCCTTTTTTCCTTTGTGTGACCAAGGCTTTCCCTGCACTAAGTCTTGTCTACACACTTTTTTGCTTCAATTTAAATTAAATCTCCTTAAAAAATGGATTAGTTATAGAAGTGCAAGTCACCAGTTTGGCCACAAATATTGATTTAGCAGCTCATATTGGTTTTGTCTGAGTAAATTTGCTGCTTTCCCTCAGCTGATTAAACAACACACTGATTTAACTTTTTTATTTTTCTGCTAGAATAAAAACATTTTTCAACAAACCTGATCCATATTCTCACTTACTTGAAAATGGGAATATATTGCTTTAAAACCAAACAGAGAAAGGACTGATGCTACATAAATACAGTTCTCAAATAAAATAGGTTGAGATGAACACCACCAGAATTATAAAATATCACTGATTATCTTCAAAGTCTATCAAGTGAAAGTTGTTCTTTGGGTTTGGGTTTTTTAATCTCTCTTGCCATGAGGATGATTAAGTCTCCAACATCTGTATCACACAGCTAACAGCAAATTAACAGGGAATTACATTCCCACCCTGTGCTTCCCACTGGAAACTTCTGGCTTTTAATTCACTGCAGACAGGCCAGCAGACCCAGTGCCCAGTAGGAACAAACCCCCAGCGTGCAGCAAAGCACTGGTGTGTCAGGCAGCAGCGCCTCTGGGCATTGCTCACCTGTCTGCGCAGGTCTCTGGTCTTCTTGGTCATCTTGTCAATGGCAGAGTTCAGGGCATCGCTTCTCTCCTTGCGGCCAGCCTGAAAAACAGCAGCCAAAGAGGTGAACAGCTATTCAGGGTCCCAAAGTTAAGCCAGTTGTTATTCATTTCAAGTATATGGTAAGCTGCTTTTCCTATCTGTTAGGTTTGTGATTCTGCAGACTGGCACTAGAGTCTCCACCTCCCCGATAAGGCAGTCACTGCTCCCTCCACACCCCACCCCAGGGATCACACAGCACTGCTCCTGAGTAAGCAGGCAAAAGCCCAGAATCAAAAGTCAAATCTTTCTAAACCATTTGTTGGGTAAGAAATTCAACATTTCGAGTGAGTCTCCAGGCCCACCCATGGGGAGCTGCCGAGGTTTGATCCTGCACGTTTCGCCTGAGCCCTGTTTTCAGAGAGGCCAAAGAGCCAGGCAGCAGGAGCAGCTTCCCTTTTCCATCACACACTGGGTCAAAAATACCTTCATTTGCATCAAATTAAGAGTCAGATAAGACAGTGGTGGTGATCTGGTTTTGCTGGGAGTTTTTTCTCTTTAATACAGCTTATATTAGGGTTTCAAAACACACTTTATTCAACCACAATCCAATTTCTGAAGTCCTAAGCCACAATCAATATAATTACCCCATTGAGAAGAAAAACCATTTAGCAGTGCTGCAGTGAGGGTATGCCAGGTATCAATTCTCCAGGTGACAGGCTGGTATGAAATATCTGGATGAACAGCCTTGAATCTAAAACATCTAGTCCACTTTACAGCAGAAATAAAAAATGGGGGGGAGGGAGTTGGATGTTGTAATGTCATTATACTGTAATGAATTATTGAAGATTTGTCACCGTCATGATCATGTTATTTGATTCTCATCACAAAAGGTAACTGAAAAGTGACTGGAGCTAAACCCAGAAGCTCGTGACATTGCCAGAGCCTTCAGCAGCCCCGGCACCGGCCCCTTCTTTGCTCTACATTCAAAAATCAAAGCTGAAGGCTGTAAATAAAGTGAAGATTAATGCACTGATTTACCCAACACTTTGCTGTTGCCCTGCTCAGGGATCAGACAGACAAGACTCGCTGAGCAATGCTCTGTCCCTGGTACGCTGGTGGCAGTGGGCAGGGCTGGCACAGGGGGACAGTGACCCCAGAAGCTGCACCAGGCACTGCCCCAGCCACAAGCTGCTCTGAGACACCAACCTGCAGTGGCAGCTGCTTCTCCTGATGTTTCACCCCTCTTTACCCACAGCAACGTGACCATTTTACTCAACCCACAGCACCCTCCCCACACACTGGGGGTTTTTCCCAGGAATATGTTTGGATCTAAGATACATGCTCATCTATTATGCAGAAAGCCAAACATTCAGCTGTTCCAAGAAGTGCCATTTTACTTCTCCCCGGGTGCTCCCACATTACCATTTTAACAAGAAGCAGGAGCAGGGATTTGAGCCGAGGCCACCCATCAGTTCCACTTTGCTGTCCCTGGCTTCACAGCCACAACAGCCTCGGTGCACAGCACCAGATGCCTTTTGGATGAGAGGAAAACCAAGAGATGGCTTCCACTAATGGACCACTATGCAAAACACCCCAAAAAACACATTACAGCCTGAGCAGCACTGATTTCTCACTGCTGATCCGTTCCTATGAAACTACACCACGTCCTAGCACAGAAAGAGCTGTAGAATCCAACCCCACTCGATTTTAGCAAGGGAGCTCTGGTTCATTTCCACCTTGCTAGCATGCAGAAGCTTGTCAAAAGCATGACCAGAATTTACTTCAGAAGGCTGCAGGATAAAGCACCCTGCTAATTTAGCTGTGATGATTTAGCACGTGGAGCACTAATTGGGATCCTTTTTTAGGGCTGAGTGGGGGCAGAGCAGGACAGACCCAGGACACCTTGATGGCTACAGAACCCTGCTGCCACTGACATCTTAAACCATCACAGCCAATTCCAACCAAGATCCTGGAGACAACTATGTCAAGTTTTGCCCAGCTGAAGTTTCCTGAATATTTTCCCTTTTTTTTTTTTAATTGTTCCCCTGCATAATAAACACTGTGGGGCCAACCAAACCCCATTAGGACCTGGAGGAACACGTGAAGACCTGCACAGCCCGTGGCAGCACGAACCCTCCTGGGCACAGAAACACGCTGAGGATCGCCCCTGACCACAGCACTGGCACTTTGGCCAGGCTCCCACACACCTCAGGAATTGCACCCATTGGTTCCACCCTACAGTTCAAAAGTTCTGTTGGAGCTGGGCTCCAGCTCTCAAATAATAAATCATGTTTTAAAGGCTCCAAGAGCCAGTTTAGCTCTTCTGGGTAATTTGTTCCACTAACCAATTAGCCTGACCATTAAGAGCTGGTTCTCATGTCTAGTGTGAGCCTTCGGTGAGGAGCCAGCTAATGACCCAGCAGCACAAGGCAGCCCAGCCAGCAGCTCTGCTACCCATGGCATTGGGAGGACTCACAAGAGTGAAGCCCAAATATTCAGATTTCTAATAGGATTTTTAGATATTCAGCACAAAACTCTGCTGAGGGAATCACAAACCCCGCAGCCAGTGAGCAGCTAATAGATTCAGTAGATTTAATAGGGTCATGATGACCATGTCAATCATTCTGCAGTATGATATCCCAACTCTGACCAGTATCATGGATAATAAATTTAGCCACGGTGCAAATTTACTTTAAATTAAATCAGATCTTTATCAAAGAGGATAAAATTGATGTTAAAAATTGCTCATTTCCCTCACCCCCTTCATCTCTGCTCTTCCCCTACCATTGCTGGCCCACTTGCAGAGCACCACAAACATTCCCTGTCACATCCCTGCAGTCCCAGCTCACACCACCATCCCCAGCAGGGCTTGTTTTAATGCTTAAAGCAAAGAAAGGGGATTTGTACACAGGGAGGGGAGCAGAATCACCATTTCTGTCACAAAGTCCTCCTGCTGTAGGTGTGCCATCTGTATTCAGACAAGCAAAAGACAGACCCAAACTTTTCCTATAGCTATGGAGGTTAAAATCAAATCCCAATTGATTCATAAAGGTACAGGAGCACGGTGGTGGTGGTGCATTCCACCAGGATCAGCAGAGCATGTGCTGCAACCAGCTACTCAAAGACATGTTTTTGTAGCTAAATATCACAAACCTCTGCTGTTAATCTTAAAGGTTCATCATCAGTTTGGGTTAAGCTGAGTCCCCAGAGGTATTGAGGGAGACAGTGCCTCCTGCTCAGCACCATATGACACCATCCCTGCAGAGCCCAGCATGTCCCCTCCCCAAATCAGCACCCAGATGTGAGCCAGATGTCACATGATTGTCCCAAGTTGGTTCTGCCTCGCCACCCAGCCTAATTCCCTGTCTACCGAGGATAACCATGCACAGCCCTCCATCACTGTGACAGCAGGGCTGCCAACGAATTCCAGACAGAGCAGGGCTGATTCAAGGCCAGGCAGTGAGCACTGAAGCGTGACCCACACGGATTCCAGCAGTTCTCACATCCCAGGTCTGCCGGTGGAGGAAGCAGGACTGTGCCCTGGTTTGCTGCAGGAAGGAGTCTCCCACAGCCAGCCCACAGCTCAGCAGAGCAAACGGGCTGCGTGGCATCACCCAGGGCTCAGCCAGAACCCCAGTGACAAATAAAACTGCCTGCACTGTCCCCCTGCCCTGCACTGCCACCCCTCCCCAGGGCCAGGCTGCACCACAGAGAGGGGAAGGGTGGCTCCTGCTCTCACCCTGGTACAGGCAGGAATTACAATGTGCAACTAGTGCCAGGTGCAGAGAGCTGCTGGACAGGGAGGTGACAGCCACCACGCTGTGCCCTTTGCTCCCATGAAGACAAGGACACCCAACCTCCAGTGCCCAGCCCTCCCCCAAGGGACTCAGCAGCTGGCCTGAAGCCCTGGGCACATCTCTGCTGCTGGGTCACCCCGACACACCTTTGTCCCACGTGCCCCTCCCAGGGCTCAGCGCTTCTGCGGCAGCGAGTCCGAGTGACAGAGCGCGCACGGTGACGCTCCAGCCACATGTCCTGCTCACCTCCTGCCTCACAGCACCAACACAACCTTCTGGCCAAAAAGCAGAATCCTCCCGTGGTCCCCGAGGTGCTGAGGCCCAGTGACAATTGCCAGCACCCTTGCTGCAGGCAGGGGGTGAGCTGGCAGCTGGGCAGTGCCACGCGCGGGGCTGCACGTCCCAGCTGCTGCAGCCCCACCTGCAGCTCCAGGGCTGGCACCCTCCAGGCCCCCAGCACAGCAAAGTCACGCAGCCCCCACATCTCCATCCAGTAAAATCAGCTTGTGTGTTGTTCTTAATACACTAGGAAGGCTTCCACAAGATGTCAGCCTAACTAAATGACAACGCTCGCCTCAGGGTGCAATTCTACTTTCCCAGCACATGGGTTTAGCAGGAAAACCAGTTGTGCTGCTGCTCCAGGAGTGGGGTAGGTGAGAAGCCCCCAAAAGCGTTACCTGGTCCTAGCAAGCTTATTCCTGTCATGGTGCATGTGAGGGTTCAGGCTGCCATAGAGCTCCTGCTGTGGCAGAAGTGCCCAGGTGCCATCAGACATGGTTTTTCATGCCAGGCAGTAAGTTTTCAGGCTCAGAAGAAATCCATTTGCATGAGTTTTCTGGGGGTTTATTCCCAGCCTGTTGCACCTTGACACCCCAGGCAGCTCCCAAGGAACAATGTGAATGTTATTGCAGTGCTCCAGACTTCAGAGACTGAGATGCACACTTGTGGTAATAACTGTTATTTCACAGCAAGTGCACATAAAAACATGTTTTGCTAAGAAAAGCACCCATAAAGTTCGCGTTAACAGTTTCCTAAACAGGAAACTCGCTGGCAAGGTGCTAAATAGCCCTTGTTTGGTTAAGGGCCAAAGAATGGAGAGCCTCAGAAAAGGAGCAACTCACCGTGTTTGAACATTAACTCTTAACTCTGTGCCAAATTATACAATCTTAACGTGGGAGGAACCTACCAGCAGATATTGATGCAAAAAAGCAAAACGTTTCCAACGATTCCTAATTTCAGTCTCCTGGTGAGAGGGAAAGAGGC